TCGGGCACAGTCCTGCACACGGTTCCCCTCACTAACTGCAGATCCCGCTTAGCTAGTCCATGTGGCCTGTGTCGACGTGTCCTGCCACTGGCGGGTGACCGGGTTTAAACGCCCGGAGCCTAGACCCTGCAAACCTCGCCTGACGCTCAGTGAGTGAAGCTGCTGCCGAGGGACACCGGCATGAGGCGTTGGCCCTGATGGATGGATGTCCCCTGACCTCTTTTTGCTTCCCCGCAGGGATCAACAGGACCACGGCGGTCTCCGAGATCAGCGGCCCCCCCAGAGCCACGTCTGCTGCCTGGGCCACCCTCCCACTCCGTAAGTAGAGCCCCCTGTTGGCCTGGCTCCAGTGAACTTCTGAAATAGCCAACAGGCGTGTCTCGTTCTCCCGCAACATTGTCCTAGCACAGAGGACACTGGGTCATATCCATTTCTCCCTCAGCATGGGCCACTGCGGGAAGAAACTTGTCTGTGTTGCCCAGGGCTGCAGTTTGAGAGTTTCCGCAGACCGGTGGCTGTGAGAACAGGCATTGATTTTTGTTATTTCTGGAGGCTGGAAGTCCAAGGCCGGGCCTCAGCCATCTGGCCACTCCCTCTCAACAGCCAAGGCCAGTCAGTCCTTGGTTCCTGGAATTTCTTAGCTCCAGCAACTGTCTTGATGGCGTCTACCTTTCCCTATGTGTGCACGCTGCTGTCTGCATAACCCTGGCGTGACCAGCTTTAGGATCCACCTGAGCCTGGTGTAACCTCTACACCCAGTATTTCCTCACAGGACCAGACCCACAGACCCAAGGCCAGGAATTCCACACACCAGTTTTGATTGTGCAGGACACAACCCAAGGCATTGGCAGACGCCTCTCTCTCCCGTGCTGGGCATCACACAAGGGCTGGCCTTGGCCTGCCAAGGACACCTCTCACCCCCGTGCCCCCCAGCTCACGTAGGACCCTACTGTCCTCTTCCCCTGTCACCACTCACCCTTCTGCACTTGCATCTTGTCTCTTCAGTCAGGAAGCTCTGCTGGGCAGGGATGGGCCAATTCAGGGTCCCCGGCTACTCGTCAGGACCTTCGCCTTTGAGCCTGCCCAGCGAAAGGCCTGGCATCTCCTGGAAAGAAAAACCAGGCATTAAAACTCTGTGCAGCACAGTTCTACGCTCACACTGCCGTGCCTGCCACGAGTCAGAACAGACTCTACGGTCATGGGGGGAGAGTGTCATGAGAAAAGCACGTGTATAACCACGTGCCTCTGAGACCAGACAATAAACTAAACTCACGGCCGCCGAGTCGATCCCGACTCACCATGACCCTCTAGAGTGAGGGAGGGGGGTGTTCTGAGATTATAACTCTTTACAGGAGTAGAAAGCCTCGTCTTTCTCCCACAAAGCAGCTGGTGATTTTGAACTGCTGGCCTTGTGGTTAGCAGCCCAGAGCATAACCATTTCGCCACCAGGGATCCATGACAGAGGCACGGGGATGGCACCTGCACAGGCGCCGTTGGGGCGTACAAGGTGGCTCGCCTGGCCCAGCCCCTTTCAAATGAATACTGTCTTACCTTCGAAATCGATGTTTAAGACGCTCTCCAGAGAAAGCGCACACATGCTGGCGTGCTTTCTTGGAGAGCTTTAGAAAGTCCACTGGAGATGGGTCAGAATTTCCAAACCCAGGGGAAAGAACCGGTAAGGGCTAGTATCAGGCAGACGCATTGTCAGACAATTTGCCATTGCAGCCTCTGTGTCCGAAATTACTGGGTCCCTAGCTCAGCTGACACCAGGACCCCCTGAAAGGAGCCCCAGAAACATCTGCTCCCCTTCGGTAGGTCCGGCGACCCCACCCTTGGCACAATGGAGCTGGAGTGACTAGCTCAGTACCAGTCTGTAACACTTAGCCGCTGGTCTCTTGACCCATCCCCTTCGCTCCTGCCTAGTGTCAACCTTGCTTACAGCAGGAAGACACTGCCCACGCTGTGTCCGATGGGACCGGTGGGGTCCGCAGGGCTTTCTCTGGCTGGCTCTGTGAAGTGGCTCTCCAGCCCTGTGTTCCTGGTTCGTCTGAATCCGGAAGCTCTGTTGACCTGCCGGATCCAGCATCACGGCCCCCCCACCAGCCTGCATGGAGGAGCAGGTGGTGACTGCCAATGCCCAGGGAGACCTGGGTCACGGAGAATTGTGCCCGTCACCTCCCCAGGCTCAGGAGCGTGTCCATGTTGGGTCTGAACCCAGGCTGCTCTCTCCTGACAGTGCTCCTCACGATGGCGGCAGTGGGCGGCTACTTGATGTGGCGGAACTGGCAGCACAAGAACATGAAGAGCATGAACTTCGACAACCCCGTGTACTTGAAGACCACCGAGGAGGACCTCTCCATAGACATCGGCAGACACAGTGCCTCAGTGGGACACACGTACCCCGCGGTAAGTCACTTCCATGTCCGTATGCACCGTCCAGACAGCCAAGCTCACAAAGCCACTGAACACCTCATCTACTTACCTAGAAGGTAGACAGTCTTGCCCTGCTGAGAGGAGCCCTGGTGGTGCAGTGGTTAAAAGTGGGGCTCCAAACTGCAACGTTGGCAGTTCAAAACCACCAGCAGCTCCATCGTAGCAGAAAGACGGGACTGCCTATTCCCATATGCTCAGAAACTCACAGGGGTAGTTTTACCCTATCCGATAGAGTCGCTATGAGCCAGTACTGACTCGATGGCAGTGAGTTTGTATGAGCCTGCTGGGACATAAGGAAGTCCCTGCCGGGACATAAGGAAGTCCCTGCCCAACTTAGTATGACAGATAGGCTCGTTGGATTATTTCAATTATACAAGCCAAAACCAAACTCATTGCCATCAAGTGGATGCTAACGTATAGCCTTCCTACAGGACAGGGTAGAACTACCCCTTTGGGTTTCCCAGACTGTATCTCTTTACTGGGAGTAGAAAGCCTCACTTTTCTCCCACAGAGCGGGTAGTGATTTTGAACTGCCAACCTTGCAGTTAGCAGCCCAATGCATAACCTCTATGCCTCCAGGGCTCCTTTTACTTATACTGAAAGAACCTCAAAAAGTTTATGGGAAAATTCCATTCTCTTTTCACCCCACTTTTCCACGAAATGTTTGACGCCCCCTCACAGAAATGACACTTAAACCATAGCATGAACCAAGTAGCTCCTCTCTGACTGGGTAGCACAACTGTATAGGATACATAAGAGTAAATTAGCCCTGCGTACCATAGAAGGGTTGCTTAAAGTCTACAGAGTGGGCAAGATCCATTGAGCCGCGATTCCCCAAGTGTTAGGAAGGAATCCCCTCTAACCCAGCATAGCTACCTTCTGCCGGAGAGCCGATCCCAAATCCTTCTGAGAAAACCCGAGTGGAGTGCTGGGTCCTTGTTCAGGGGATGGACCGGACAGACAATTGCAGAGTGCTCCTTCTGAAGCCCTCTGGTGAAATGGAAGATGTGTCAATGCTGGTCTTTTTCCTTCCCATTTTCCTCCTGGTCTTAAGATCAGAGATATCAGATAGTGTGACATGAAAAAAAAAAAATTAATTAACAAGGGTTTTGGAGGGGGGAGGGGAAAAATGAGCGAGAAGGATGAGGGCAACAAATGTGCTTGACACGAGGGATGGATAGTGATAAGAGTTTCAAAAGTGGGGGGGTGGGGTTCATTGACTAGAGCAGGTAGAATCACACCACTCTCGGTGTGCTCAGAGTCAAGTGAAGCGCCTGAGTGCTGTAGCACCATACTGTTCAGTGTCTGCACTCCCATCTCTCTCACGCTCCGTGGGTCTTTCAATGACCGCCTCTGAGGCCAGGTCCATTTCAGGGGCTGGAGGCGCGTCCAGGGACACGTCCTGACCTCACGGGGCCTCCCTTCTTCTCCGCAGATCTCAGTCGTCAGCACAGATGATGACCTCGCCTGACCTCGGGGCCAAGTCTGGACTTGGGGACCGGTAACCAAGCCAGCAGCTGAAGTCTTCCTCCCTCCAGTCTGGGAGGTCATGACATCTCGGCGTGGAGCAAGCTTGTGACCTTGAGCGTTTTTTATACCACTTCTTTTGTAAATATCCTTGTCCACATGCTACTTCAGCTTTGGATATGGTTACCAAGTCTCTGTAACCCTTGAATTTCTAGACAGTATTGCCACGTCTGGCCAAATATGCACTTTCCTTAGAAAGCCATAGTCCAGCAGTGAAACTTGTGCTATAGTGTACACCTCCTGTACATATCACTGTATAGGCCACCTGTACATATCCCCCAAACAATCACTATTCTTAAGCACTTTGAAAATCATTTCTATGTAAATTATTGTAAACTGTTTTTTCAACGGTTGGGGCAATGGCAATAGGAGAAAACGGGTTACTAAGATGACGTTGCCAAAACAACAACAAAACAAAAACACATTTGTAAAACTAATTTTGTACGTATGAATGGAGTCTTTGACCTCCAGGGAGGACTGCAGGGACTGGGTGATCCAACTACTGTACAATTTTTTTTTCCAAATGCAAAAAAATAAATAAACCAAGCAGCTGAACCATGGTCTGTACCTCGTGGTCTAGGGCCAACAGCCCAAGTAGGGTCCTGAGTTCTAACAGGGTGCGTGAGCTCCTGATACGGCTGTTGTATGTGGTAAGTGGTAAGAAGGCCTGACATTGGGCTGATGGCTCTTAACAACCAAAAGCAAAGGACCACGTGATGCTTGCCCCCTCAATAAAGTAGCGAGCGTACTCTATCCCTACCACCCCTCGCACCTGAACATCGGTTCCTCTTCTTGTTTTTCTTGACCCAGAAGCTTGGGCTACTAACCACAAGGTCAACAGTTCGAAACCACCAGGCAGCAGCGAGGGAGAAAGACGAGGCTTTCTGCTTCCATGCAGAGTTACAATCTTGGAAACTCGCAGGGGCAGTTCTACCCTGTCCTATAGGGTGACTATGAGGCAGAACTGACACCGTGGCAGTGAGTTTGGTTTGGTACTATCACTAGATGAAGGGAACTTCAGAAGGCCCAGGGGGACATGGAATTAAAAGAGAATTCTTCCCCCATACTTTGGGAAGGCCTCTTCCAAAAGGCAGAGAAATAATACTTTGAAAGCCCGGGAAGAACTTTCTTCCTGTAAAAGTCTAGAGAGTCTGAACCACCAAGATGGGGAAGGTAACAAGTGGTACCATTCTCGAACCACCTGAGGGGCTGGACCTCCAGGTCCAGCAGGGTCTGAATCACCTGGGCATGGCTAGAAGTGGAACTTCTCAGGCCCCGCCCCTGAGCTCCTGGATCAGGGACTCAAGGGGTGGGGCCCAGAGGCCTGTTTCCACAGGGTTTCCATGTGTCTCCTTGACATGACTCTCGAGAGGCCGGGCCCTAAGTTTCCACTGTGGAAGAAGACACGGAGCAGCTGGTTGAGGTAGCTAGATGGCTTGGTGGTCCCATCAAAAGCCATTTGCCTATGGAATGAAACAGCTGGCCTCTGGCATGGGTCTCAGAGCGGGAGACGAACCATCCTAAAGGCCGGTGAAGCTGCTTCTCTGCCACCTTGCTTTCTTTGGTCATGGACGCCTCCTGTGGTTTGGTGAAACGGATGAAAGTGGGCGGACGGGCCTGGACCTCGTCTTGTGGGAGAGGTGGAGGGCTGAGCAGGCTGTACTCAACGACGGCCGCCTGTCTGCTGTCGCCCGCCCCTTCCTTCACAATGGATGGGCACCCCTGACGTAAAAGGTTACTTTCCCTCCCGGAGCGCTTCCAGATGTTTGTCTCTGTTCGACAAAGACCAGGATGTACGCTTTTCACTGGAATCATACAAACTCTATTTCTACGGAGCTCATGGATCCTGATATACAGCCCCTTACTGGTGATCAGTTACAGGCAGACCACGTGGCATCATGCCTCCCAGAGACAGCAGTGTTCACAAGTGGAAGGTCTGTGAAGACCTGCAACCACCGTGTGTGTGGTGTGTGTGTGTGTGTGTTGACACCTTGTGTCTCTGTGGCCTGTGGTGACCATGCTCCCAGTATTTCAAACTCTGTTGTCCTGTGGTCACACTTCCTAGACCCCTGGCAGGTGGAAACAGCCTGGACACGCACTCAAGCCCCCAAAAGCAAACTCGCGGCCCTCGAGTCGATCCGACTCCCAGCGGCCCTGTAGGACAGGGGAGGATGCCCCCTGTGAGATTCCGAGACTAACTCTTGACGAGTACAAAGCTGCCTCTTTCTCCCAAGGAGCAGCTGGTGGTTGCAAACTGTGGACCTTGCGATTAGCAGCCCAGCGTGTGACCCGCTGCGCCACTAGCGTCCTTGGATACACCCCAGATACCAAACAAAAGAAGGCTCTTGACGGATGTTCACTTGGGGCAGCCTGAGACAAGATCTTGGGCCCTGGCTATAAGTGATTCAACGGTGAGGCCCACCGCTGCCGTTTATTCCCCGAATAAAACAGTCTTGTTGGTCACGTTTTCTTGCTAGCCCATTCCTTTCAGCCTCTGATCCCAACTCCCACGCCTCAAAAGCGCTGACGTGTGCCCCCCGCCACACCCCTCCACAGGAAGGCCCCACACCAGGACACAGATTCTGACTGCGAGGTGCAAACTCATCTGAAGCCACGCAGTGACTCAGCTCTTTCAGCTGAGATAAAGAAGGTGACCGGCGAGTCCGCTAGCCGGTGCGGCATGAACCGACAGGTCAGAGGGACGGGGCTGCAGGTTTGGGCAGCCAGACGAGAACATCCAGAGCCCCTGAGTAAAAGTACTGTATCTCCCGATCACTCTGCATGTGACCCATGCGAACAATTGAGAGGCCAAGTAGGCAGCTGGTCAAACGTGAGCAGAGGGGGTTGGGAATGGATTGAGCCTGTTGGACAGAGTGACCCGAGGGGACACCTCCATTAGGTACCGCTACGCAGACCTGCAGACAAACGAAGAGAAGAATCCCTGACCGCCAACGACGAAATCAGCAACACCCCTTGCATCTGAATTTTCCACTTGCTCTCTGGTAAAGAATCAACCCCGGTTGTTCACCCCCAAACAGCAATCCCCGGGTGCTGTTGAGTCGATGCCAATGGGTGGCACCTGCTGTGGGTCTGAGCACAGCTGAGCTCCACAGGGTTCTCGGCGGCCAATTTCTTGGAAGTCAGTGGCTGGGCTTTTATTCCAAAGCACCTCTGAGTGGACATGAACCTCCGCTTTGGGCTCTCAGCTGAGCGGGTTAGACATTTTCACCAGCCAGGGTCTCCAGCTATAAAACCAAGACCAAGGCACGGCCACAGACCCCGTTCCGCCACGAGGCAGGGGACACTCCAGTGACACTGGGGGAATAGGGCGGCTGCCTCGACCCTCTGAGATCTCCTAAGTGGTTGAGCACTCCACTACCAGGCATAGGATTGGCAGAACCAAATCCACCCAGAAGTGCTTCTGAGGTCAGGCCCAGGGGTCGGCTTCTGAAAAGTCACATCTGTGTGCAAGTACGGAGCACACGTGTGGTCACTATGAGTTGAAATCGACCCAATGTCAACAGCAACCATCCACAGCTGACCCTCTGTGCCCTCCCCACCCCTCAGCTGGAAGGCTCTGCTGGGGCTCACACCTCTGCTGTGAACTGGGGGTGGGGGGTGGGTGTCCTGGGGGGTCCCCCCCCAGATTTCTTCTCCAGTAGGACCTCACCCAGGAATGCCCTTCATTACTCAGAAAGACATAACTTTAAAATATTATTTTAAAAAAATAATGAAGTCAGACCTTGTCCTTAGTGTAGGGGACATTGCAAAGTGTATATCTGCTTTTGCTGTGACAACTTGGGTCCAAACTGAAGGATCCAACCTGCTGGGATGTAGTGATGATGCATGGGGCTGCCACCCCAAAGGTCAGTAGTTCGAAACCAACAGCGGCTCCTCAGGAGAAAGAGGAGGCTTTCTACTCTCACAAAGAGTTACGGTCTCAGAAACCCACAAGGGGCAGTTCAACCCTGTCCTATAGGATTGCTGTGACTTGGGATCGACTCGATGGCCATGAATTTTGGATGGCACAGTGGTTGAGCACTCAACTGCTGTCCCAAGAGATCAGTGGTTCAAGCCCACCAGTCACCCTGAAAGAGGAAGAGGAGGCAGCCTGCTCCCATAAAGATAGCCCCCTGGGAAACCCAATGGCGAAGTTTTACTCTGAATCTTTCCACTGGGTGCAGGAATGGTTTTAATCTTCACACGCGAGGCCTGTGATTCCACAATCAAGCATTCAGCCCGACTCTTGGGAAGAAAGCTGAGGATAGACAGCCATGTCTCTCGTGTGCAATGGGCCTAAACCCTGGAGGAGACACGAAGGGGGAGGGGGCAGGGGAGACAAGGGTGTCTTGTTTCCAAATATGGGGAGGCGGGTGAATTTGAAGATGAAACAGCCTTTGCGGGACATCTTCCACACCAAGCATGAAATAGAGGCTTTCCAACTCCAACCAGCTCTGGGAGGGGTGAAGTCTTCTCTGTGTGCTGTACACTCATGTCCACTCACAGGTGACAGGTGAAGCTACAGCTTGTGGGGGCCCCTCCCTGGGTGGGAGACCTGGGGGCCCACAGATAAACTATTACGAACCTGATTCACACCCTGGTGGGGACTGAGCATGATAGTGAGACAGGAGGGAAGTCAAGGGAACTAGAGGAAAGAGCTGGGAGGTAAAGGGCATTTGTAGAGGTCTAGATAAAGACATGTACATATGCAAATATATTTATAGGTTTAGTATTAAGGT